AATTATCATTAATGAAATAATATTCAGTCAGAGGGCTTATTTATGGTAATAATATGTATACTAAGCCTGAAGGTGGCGCTTTACTACGACGGCCATCTTGGATGGTACACATACATAACTCTGCATTGCTGCGCCATCTTGTCAGCACTCTAGTTGTTTAATAGCTCTATGAGCAATGCAGAGTTGTGCATGTGTACCATCCAAGATGGCTGCCGTAGGAAAGCGCCACCTTCAGGCTTAGTATACATATTGTTACCATAAATAAGCCCTCTGACTGAATATTATTTCATTAATGATAATTAGTATTGATAATGACAAATTATTAAAATGTCGTAGCCAAAAAGAGGCCAAGTAGAGCATCTTATTCAAATATTAAAAAGAATTAAAATCGTGTACATTACACCCATACACCGCAACGCTCGAGTTTCAAACATACGGTAACTAGCTGTACAGAACTTTCTGTGTAAATTGAGGGCGCAATTGCAAACGATGATGCTTAGACGAAATTTGATTGGCTAAATTTATGGCAGCCATCTTGGATGGTACACACTCACAGCTCTGCGTATTTCGAACATCGAATACATTGCTGTTAGCGCTCTAGTATTCTTATTATATATCTATGGTACCATCCAAGATGGCTGCCCTAGGAAAGCGCCACCTTCAGGCTTAGTATACATATTATTACCATAAATAAGCCCTCTGACTAAATATTATTTCATTAATGATAATTAGTATTGATAATGACAAATTATTAAAATGTCGTAGCCAAAAAGAGGCCAAGTAGAGCATCTTATTCAAATATTAAAAAGAATTAAAATCGTGTACATTACACCCATACACCGCAACGCTCGAGTTTCAAAATACGGGTAACTAGACTGAACTTTCTGTGTAAATTGAGGCGCAATTGAAAATAATAGTGCTCAGGGGAAATTTGATTGGCTGAATCTATGGCAGCCATCTTGGTTGGTACACACACACACAGCTCTGCGTATTTCGAACATCGAATACATTGCTGTTAGCGCTCTAGTATTCTTATTATATCTCTATGGCTGTACTGAACTTTCTGAGTAAATTGAGGGCGCATTTGCAAACGATGGCGCTTAGCGAAATTTGATTGGCTAAATCTATGGTAGCCATCTTGGATGGTACACACACACACAGTTCTGCGTATTTCGAACATCGAATACATTGCGGTTAGCGCTCTAGTATTCTTATTATACGTACCAAAGAGTATAAATAGAACAAGAGAGCCAACAACGCTCATTGGGAGCGTAAAAAAACGATACGCTCTACGCAGCTAGTGTAGGACGCCAACTAACGCTTGTTTGTGTTTTATTACAAAGATCTTATAAACACAAGATAGCGTTCTCCGCGATTTACGCGTGCAAATTCTGTAATAAGGCATGAATGGCGCCCTCTTGCTAAATTGGAAAATGTTAACCTTTGACTGCTATGACCATACCGTACTGTGAACAGCAGAACAGGAACCATCTCAAATCCATGGCAACAGATAGGACGCCCTCTTCCAAAATTGATTACTTTTTCTCTTTGGTATAATAATAATTTATTGAACTTACACTTTTGTTACAGTGGCACTCGTCAATTGACGGTGCGTTCAAGACCAACAAATTTACAAAAGAAGTTACATTAAAAAAAATATAAAAGCACAAGCACAAAATTTGAAAGCCCCTTCTTATCAATAGATAAGAATTAGAGGAATTAATTTTTCCAGTGTAATTTAGCATAAATTAATGCCTTATGAATCAACAGAAAGCCAAGAGGCTAAGTGTGCATCCGGGCCACAGAGAAAGAAATAATTGATACAATAATGTATAGTATTTTTTACTGTCTGGTTTGAAACAGAATCAATCATCATATTCATTTTCTGCCTCATCTTTCGGCTGCATAATTATCATCATAATCCACATCATATCATAAAACATCATCCTCTCATCATCATTGCCATCCCATGTTCATCCCTTATAAGCATCCTTTCATCATCTTTACTATTTTATTGCTTGTGTAAGAATACCCGTACTATATTGTTTTTCGATTTTGATAATTTGAGGCTCTGCATCTATAACAAATTTTATATTCAGTACATCCTCGACTCTTACAAATTCGGACCGTTTCTGC